ACCAGGAGGCCTGGGTTCAAGTCCCACCTGCACCAGTGGTGAGTTGTAACATCTCTGAACAGGCTGATTAAAAAATATCCACCCTGAGGACTTCCTGCAGCTATGTCCTGGAACTGTTTTGTGTTAAGTGTTACTCCATCCAGTGGAGAGTTTTGCTGTCATATATATGATTATGCCAGACCAGCTGAAGCCAGCAGATTTCCTTTCCCAAAGAGTATTCGTGAACCAGATCGGTTTTGCAACAATCTGGTCGTTCGTGGTCACCATGACTGATGCCAGCTTTTAATTATGTATATTTAAATTCCCCAGCTGACATGTGGATTGTTAGTCCAGATCTGTGCTGCTAGCCCATGTTTATGTCATCCTAATTTTTAATTAAAAGCAAAATACTGCAGTTCTTTAGAACTGAAAAAAGGGGTTTTTAATGCCTTTATTAATTTTTAATTCACCAGAGATAGACATTGGCCCTTTTTAAACAGGCAGTTTTCAATCAAAATAAGGACATTAACTGAAACAATAAAATGGCTGCCAATTTGCATTACTATGTAGTCAACATTCTACTCCATGGGAATGGAGGAGCAGGGTCTATAAAGATCACAGCAGAGACAATAAAACTCCTGGAGAGGTATAAAAAGTTTCCTTCCTTCCTTAGCAAAAATACATAGTAACAGTATGCATGGTAGAATGAACCATGTAGAAGTTATTTGCTTGGACAAAGACCTTGATTTTCTTAAGATGACTGAGCAGACTTCACCTAATCAAAGCTACCTTCGTGAATATCCAATGAAATTTTGAACATCTGTTGGCAGTTAGTGCAGACATGTAACCAACCATGCTCTTGCTCTTCCTAAACCGAGAATTCCGCAGAGAGATTGTACAGCAGCATTGGTCAAGTAAGAGGGGCATACCAACAACAATTATAAAAACTGCCTTAGCTGAAACCCAAAGCTTCTGGAACAACAATCAGTCTGTTATTATTTATCTTGGCCAAAGTTGACCTTTCATCTCTAATTCACATTTACATTTTTGGTTAGAGTGTCTGTGTTTGTGCTCAATTTATGGAATTCAGGATGTATGTTTTTAATCTTTTTACCTGGGTGAATTTTAGCACAATAACACTAACTCTACTTATTCAACTTGAGAAAACCTATCTAGCTAGCTCTTTACTGGAATAAACAGATAAGAAGTACACACTAAGTTGTCAAATACTTTCTCTTAAAAAAAAATTCAAAACCTCTTCCTTGCAAGTAAAGGAGAGGGAAACCATTTTACCCCTCTTCACCTGCTTTTAACATGTTGCTGTAATTTAAATGCAGTTAATTAAGTAAAAATCTGGAATGAAGAACTGACTTATATGGTGTGGTTACAGACTCACAGCAATGTTATTGACTCCTAACTGCTTCTGAGGTGGCTTTGCAAACCACTTAGATGAATTAAACTTACAACAAGTTACAAGAACAAGACTGGACAAACTAACCTGACATCATCATAAACATCAATTTTGAACACAGCAGGAATTTTGACAGGAGGAGTGCGCTGAAAATCAGACCCCACTACTGAGGCATACCAAAAGTGTAAATGTCTTCCTTTAACATCAGTATAGTTGACGTGTTTGTCTGTATGACTGCTATTGAGAACGAAATGGACTTTCACCAGCTTTCTTCAAATACTCAGAAGTGACTTGCTCACTAAGGACAGGCTTATTCTTTAAACAAGTAGAAAAAGTGCTTATTAACTGCTATACTGTACAAACTTAAACTATATCCTTCTCTATCCAAATGCATGCACAGGCAGGTGGACATGACGCAGCTCTATAGACTATTATGGTTTCAAAAAAATGAGAAAAGTTGTCCTTGTGGATGAAGAATCCTAATGAAAAAGGTAGAAAGAGTTGACTTCTCATTGCTCCTAGGTGATCACCAGCAGATTAACAGAAGAACCTCGGACTAGATTTCAGAGAAACAGTTAGGAATCCTAATATCTGAAACCTTGTTTTTTAAAAGATACTTCATTGAGACAAAATCCATTTTTAAATTGGTTATGCCGTAAAAAAAAAAAATTTTTCCTTTTCTAACAGAGGGAAAGATTTTTTTCCTTTCTACTGCTTTCTTCTATCTGCCACTTCTCAGAAGAGACAGACTGGCTAATTTCCACCTTGGAGAACATCTTCAAACTGAATTATACAGTTTACTGGAAGACTCAGTAACTTAAGTTCAGAGACTGTCGGTAGGCATCCTTCAGCAAAGGGCACTTCTAAAATCCGATTTATTTGCCTAGATAATTATAGGCCTTAAAGCAATATCTCAAATTTTTTTTCTCCTAAAGTCACTTGGCTTTTTGTAATCAGCCTTTTGACTTTTGAGTTCCAAAATGGTACATGGAAGATCCTTTGCAATTCAGGAATTGTCCAAATCTTTCATTTTCCAATTCTCATAATTCATAAATTTGTATTTTTCCAGTAACACCCAACCCAATCGACCCTTAAAGGATCTTCTCTCCTGTATCTGGGGACCTGTGCCAGAATTGGGAAAGCTGTTTCACAGATGTCAAGTAATAGCCTGACATAGTCATGCACACTGAATTGGCTGCAAGGTATAATGTCCCAAACTTGTCCATCTCTTCCATCGTCATCCTTAGGATTTTATATCCCAACAGCAGGACTGACTGATCAGAGATGGCTGCACAGTGGTATGCAAAATGGAGAAAGTTGCCATGGATGTTCTTGTGGCTGGGGTCCCAAGACCTCACTCTCCAATGCTGATCTTGGTTTCAAAAGTGCATGCACTCTTCTCCGCACAGTGTGTAATTTTTGCATGTGATATCACGTGTAGATTCTACTCGATGATGTATTGCATCTGGAACTGTGCATAAGCACGTTTTCAGATTAGTGTGCATGTGCAGTTGTCGCATTTGAGTGTTACAACAAACACTGCCAAATTGTTAAATATGAATCTGAGATTGAGATTTAAATGCAGTAACAGGAATGTAACTATCTGGTTCAGAATTTGCAACTTTATGCATAAGCAAATGCTTAAGCTATGATCTCATCAGTATGTGGAAGATAGGTTTAGGGCTTTTTGAATCTAGAAGTGAGTCATATTGAAGAAAACTTGTCTTGTTGCCTGCAGTCTTAGACCAATTTAAATTAATGCTTTTCTTGTGCGTTGTGGCTTTAGGCTATTGGAAAGTTGACTATTGAGGATGTTGATGAATTCTTCTAATTCTGTTCCTGTGCATCCAAATACCCCAAATGTTAATTCAAACGTATAAAATATTGTTACTGCATGAATACAAATAAATGAGTTAGTGTGAATGGTAAAATAGCGCCCAAAAATGAAAATGTAACTGCACAAAGGCTGTTCACTGAAGTGAAAGTCTATCTAGATTAGGCTGAGAGTCAGGCTCTGATGAGCACATCACTGGCATGAGCCTTTATCTGTGGGATATGATCTACCTCCAGGTGCCACATCCACCCTAGGGATGAAGGAGGTGCTATTGGACAGTCACAAGGAGGAAAAGCAGTAGCCAGTCAGCCTGAGTCATTCCAGCGGTGCACTGCTGGGGAGCCAAAGGCCAAGGAGATCGCACATGAACCTGTCTAAAGACTCTCAGAAGGTTGGAGCCCTCTGCACCAGAGGACACCTATCAAAGTCATCCGGGGCAACCCGGCAAAAATATCAGCAGACTTCCTCAATTGCAACTGCGGCTGCCAATGCGGCATCATGCTGTAGCATTAGGAAAAGAAGGATTAAACAAAATCAAGGTCACTTTTGGTGCACCAGTGTCAATCTTCTACACAACTTAACACAAATATAGTACTTTGTACAACAGTGATTTTGTCTCTTTCAATCTGTTAATGTTTGAGTCTATATATGTTTTTCTTGTAAATTACCTCAAGGGGCTCACCTGGACAATTTCACTCATGTCTTACCTTGTTTAGGTAGTACACAGGATTTAATAATTTAGGGCTCTGCATTTTGCCTACTGATATTAACAGTGCTTGCAGATGAATTCAATTCCATCTTCTGCGTCAAATTGCTCCCTTCAGCCGCCCAGGCCCTAATTTCTGGAATTCCCTCTCTAACCTTCTTAAGTTGTCTATCCTCTTTGAAGACACTAATAAAAACCAACTCATTTGATTGCCCTAATCTTGCTTTTTATTTCTGTGTCAGATTTTGAATGATGATATTTCTGTGAAGCGGCAAGTGCCATTCATTGTGTTAAACGGATTATATAAATGCAGTTTATAGTATCAGTGCTGTTATGCAAAAGGGTCAGAACAATTTGCTATTGTGTCCATGCAGATGCTAATGATGTTTTAGTCAGAGGAATCAGCAAGAAAATTGGAGGGATATACAACAACAAATTACTGCTTCAACTTGATTACTAGCAAGCTCACTTTTATTCTAATGTGAAAGTTTCGGTCTGTAGTTCACAATGCCCTTGCACAATAGCAGAAGACTTAATTTGCTGAAACAGCAACAGAAGATCACATTGGTCTAGGAAGTTCAGCTTAGCTCTATGCAGACTTGGGGAATGGAGTATAACAATTGAGAAACTTCACACCTCTTATGCTGTTGTAGCAGACCAGTGCAATAGGATCAATTTTCAGAAATTTCCCTATCAGGTTCTTACTGGATCCTACTGGCTAAGTGCACAGTGTCCTTTCGCCACTGAGGAGATTACTGCTCCCTCATTTAATAGAGCACAGTATGCAATCTTCCCATTCTAATTTATCTAATCATTTTTAAAATTTATATTTTACCTTTTGAATTGTACTTGGAAACATTTTAACTATGCTACCAGCACTTTGACCCATAACAACAACTTGCTTTTGCAATCAGAAATTAATCTTCAAAGAACTGTAATGTTCTTTGTAATAAAGTCATATTTTTCAATACTCATTAAAAATGTCATTTTATAGTGTCTTGACAACATCCATTAATCGTGATTTTAAAATAGTGATAATTGTTGTCATTTTTCTACCCCACTAATTACAGGATTCAAATTCAAACTACAGGGAGACGGTTAAAAAGCTGATCCCACACTTGAAATATTTGGACGACATTCCTGTGAGTGAGACCTGCATTCAGTCTAACTGTACCATCAATAAGGATTGGCTAATTGTGAAGGAAGCCATTAAGGATGGCATCTCAGCTGAGGATCTTGAAAATTTAGGTCTGTGGAATAACTCATAAACAATTATTAAAAGCACCATAAATATCTGTGAAAAATGGTCATTAACAGGCCCGAAACGTCAGCCTTCCTCCTCCTATGATGCTGCCTGGCCTGCTGTGTTCATTCAGCTCTACGCCTTGTTGTCTCATTAACAGGAAAGAGCTATTTTCATACCTTGTCATAAAATCTTAGTCACACTGAACGTTTGTACACAGAAGAGCAAATATGAGTAAAATTAACAAAGTTGTAACTATTCACTCTTTAGTTTAGCTCCTCTAGATATTGAGTATCATATTCATTGCATTTGATTAGAAAATTGTACAGAAATGTGCAGAAAGACCACTCATCTCACAAAATGAGTTTTTTTTAACATAAGCAATAATAATATTCTGTAAAAGCAAACTTCTTTCTTAATATTCAGATGATAGTATTATCATTGGGAGACCAGCTTCTCGAAAGCACCAAAATTGTGCATCTCGAAAGGCGTCAACTTCCCAGAGACCACACAGCGCTGGAAGACTCTCCACAGGGTCTACTGTTGGCATCTTACAAACAGGAGGTCCTGATACCAGGCTTTATGATGGTGCGAGTGACCTTACACATGGTAGGGAAACATCAACTATTTTGATAATTAGTATCTTTTGATGTAATGCAATAAATTTCATTAACATCACTGAGTTGTTGTGACCTGAAATGCCTCCATGCTCTGAACATATGCATTCATTCTTTTTGCATTTGGTATTATGAAGTAAAATATTACAAGTGCACTTTGAGCATCTTGAATCATAATCTGCTGATCATCGCTTACCCTCTGAATATATCTGCTAAGATAGTGAAACAATGAATGTTCTTGGAAGAAAAAAGTGAAAATACTAAAGAGAAAATCATAAATAATTTGACTTCAGCAATTACATAGAATTCTGAATTAACTTGACTCATTTAGAGTCATATAGTCATACTGCATGGAAACAGACCCTTCAGTCCAACTCATCCATGCTACATTTCCCAAACTAAACTAGTCCCATTTACCTGCATTTGGCCCATATCCCTCTGAACTTTTCCTATTCATGTACCTGTCTAAATGTCTTTTAAATGCAATGACTGAACCTGCATCTACCACTTCCCCTGGCGGTTCATTCCACATACAAACCACCCTCTGTGTGAAAATGTTGCCTGTTGGGTCCCTTTTAAATATTTCTCCTCCCACGTTAAAAATATGTCCCCTGGTTTTGAACTCCTCTACCCTGGGGAAATTACTGGGATCTGCAGTTCTTCGTTTCATTTTAACCATTAACCTTATTTTTTTTCCACTTTGTTAAATTCAAATTGCACCATCTGCCATGATAGGATTTGAACACGTGCCCCCAGAACACTAGCCTGGAGCTCTGGATTACTAGTCCATTGACATTATCACTATGCCACTACACTGCTTCCTCTCTCATCAGAGCCCAAAGTGTTCTGATGAAGGATCACTGGACTGAAACCATGAACACTGCTTTCTCTGTCCATGCATGCTACCAGATTTGTTGAGGTTTTCCAGCACTCTGTTTTTTGTTTCAATACTGATCAAGACTGAAGAACTAGGTGGCAGCCACCAAACGATGGTGTCGAACATGAATGGTCTGCTGATGGACAGTTGTCCTGGAGAAGAGGGGCTGACCATGATGGTACTCACTGTGATCATTTGCAAATAGAAATAGGGCTTGCTTTGTCAGCATCGCTAAAGCCCTAGGTGTTGTTTTAGGTTTCTAGTATCTGCAGAAAATGTAACTCCCATTTGTGTTAACAAAATGGGGGTAATCCTTTATAGAATCAACCCTGTAAGTCTCATAGTCCCTTCTCAGGGGTGACTTACAGCAGCAACAACAACATGTCATTGGGAATAGGGGACACAAGTCAAAAGTTATCGCTTGTTTTGGTGGGGTGGGGTGGGCTTTGTTTTCTTTAAGAAAACTAGACTTTAGCATCATAGTCACAACTCTGGGGGGAGTTGCCCTCTCGGGGACAGTGACCCATGTCTCAAGGCATCCCTCTTAGTGCAAACACCAACACACATGCAGTCATTCAATCATGGCTGATATGTATCTCAGCCCCATTCTCCTGCCTTCCCTCTATCTCTGATTCCCCTTACTAATCAAGAATCCATCTATCTCTGTCTTACATACACTCAATGACTTGGCCTCCACAGCCTTCTGTAGCAATAAGTCCCACAGATTAACCTCTGGCTGAAGGAATTCCTCCTCATTCAGTTCTAAAGGATTATCCCTTCACTCTGAGGTTGTGCCGTCAGGTCTTAGTCTCTCCTACTAGTGGAAACATCTTCTCCATGTCCACTCTTCCGTCTGTCCATATTCTGTAAGTTTTATTGTGATCCCCCACTCGTCTTCTAAACTTAACTGAGTACAAAATCAGAATCCCCAACCACTCCTCATATGACAAGCCTCTTAGTTTGCAGATGATCCCTGGCATCATTCTTGTCAACCTTGTCTGGACTCCCTCAATGCTAGGACATCCTCCTTAGATACAGGGCCCAAAACCGCTCAGAATATTCCAAATGTCGTATGACCAAAGCCTTCTACAGCCTCAACAGTACATCCCCGCTCTTGTATTCTCGCCCTTTTGAAACATTGCATTTGTCTTCCTAACTGCTAACTGAACTTGCATGTTAACCTTAAGAGAATCCTGAACTAGGACCCCTATGTTCCTTTGTGCTTCAGATTTTTGAAGCCTATCCTCATTTAGAAAATAATCTATTCTTCCTACCAAAGTGCATAACCTCATCCCTGCCCACGTCATATTCCATCTGCCACTATTTTGCTCACTCTTCTACCCTGTCCAAGGCTTTCTGCTGTCTCCATACTTTCTTACACTACCTGCTCCTCCAACTATCTTTGTGTCATCTGCAAACTTAGCAACAATTCCTTCACTTCCTTTGTCCAGATTGTTAATGTATAATGTGAATAGTTGTGGTTCCAACACTGACCCATGTGGAATTCAACTAGTTGCCTAGCCATCCTGATAAAGATCCCTTTATCCTCCTGCCTTTGCCAGTCAGCCAATGTCCTATCCATGCCAGTACCTTGCCCCTAACACCATGGGCTCTAATCTTATTTAGCAGCCTCCTGTGCAGCATCTTGTCAGAGGCCTTCTGGAAATCCAAATAGATCATGTCCACTGGCTCTCCTTTGCCTAACTTGCTCATTACCTCCTCCAAAGAATTCTAACAGATTTATCAGGCATGACCTCCCTTTGAAGAAGCTGTGCTGACTTAGCCCTATTGTAACTTGTACTTCCAAGTATTCCGCAATCTTGTCCTTAATAATGGACTCTAAAATCTTGACTTTTTTTCTTAAAAATGTGCTTCATGTTAATGAAACTGCCAAATCCAGTTTGTTTGCATTGGAGTTTATGGTGTATGGAGTAACTTATTAAATATTGACTTGTTCACAAAAAGCTATGAAAGATTTCTGATCTTTCAAGCCTAAAATCATTACGAAGGTTGCTCAAAAGCACAGGAAAGAAATCCTATTTGCCTTGTCACTGTCAGTTGCAAGGGGAACTGGGAATATAATATGAACTGTACACCACGACAGTGAGGCCATCAGACAACAAGAGCAACACCGAGCATCAGAAATCAATTTAGATCAAGCTCTCCGCATAGTGGACTGAGGGGGAGCTGGAGAGGGGAAGTCCCTGACTTAATGAGGTTTAGGAGTACCTTAAGAAACACTTCTGGAATCACAGACTCCCACTGCCCCCATGTTAGTGAAATGTAGTTCCAGTGATCCTGTGAGCTCAGTAATATTGGCATGAGCAGATTTCCTGACTTAATCTTGAGTGTCAGGGACCCAAGCACAGGAGAGGAAAAGTGAGTAAATAATTTAGAATTAACTCATTTCCAGAGGTGGTGATAGGAATGTTTAAAGCAAGCTATCAAGGGAAGTGACAGGTTCAGGAGGGATCTTGGTAAATTTTAGGAAATTATGGGGCATCAGGGGGAAGAGCATGGGATTATTGAAACATGGAGACACATCAGTTCTACCAAAGTAGTTGTTTCCTTTTTTAAAAACAAAACAAGTGCATCCAGAAATAACAGCTTTACCTAATGGTGTCTTGATTTTCTTTCCAGGTGCCAGCAGCATTTTTTGTGGAAATCCTGTCACAGCTCTTCGAGCCCGGAGGAAGAAGCAAGGTGTAAGGCTTTACTGTTGCTTTATAGGCAGTGGTTGGATGAAGTCCAACATGCGTTGTGCTATGTATCTCTGATACTTGGATTCTGTCTGTTAGATTAAAAAAAATTCTGGAAAACCGTACACCTGTAACCCAAGTCAGCTTGTTTGAAGCAAGTTCAGAATTCCACAGCAGCTTGGACACACCAACTCAGTTGCAAGCCTCCTGTTGTGAGCGTTGTCTTTACTTCTCCAGTTTTACACTCTTAAAATCTGTCATCTGTCCTTCAGATCAGTTTTCTCCAGTCTCTCTTCCATCAGTAGAGTCATCTATTCCTTGGTACTTTCACTTTTTGTGTATGGGTGCATGTATGCTTGTGTGGAAGTGGCAAGTAGTTTAGTTGGCTAGACAGGTAATGTCTTGATCAGATTAATGTTTGCAGCATGGGGATTGATCCCCATTCTGACTCAAATAGGCTTGGGACTTGCCTCCCTGCCCAATCAATGGCAAACAAAAATCATGCGCATTTGGTGATTAATCACCAAAAACCTGCCTTCGAGAAAAGAAATCAAGAAAACATATATATGAAAATGTTTGTGCATGTACACATGAAATAGTCCATGGTGATGACTGGCACACTTGCTGATTTATATATAGAGAAAAATATATTTTTACATAAATAAAAATATAAATAAAAGTCGCTCAGTTCCTGTATAATCCAGCGAAGCCAACACTGCTGCAGAAAATATTCAGAATCAACTTCAGAATGTGCTTGAAGTTTTAATTTATCTCACAATACGCTAAAGCAATTTACCTCCAATAATCTGTTATCCCGATTAACAATGGCCAAGCTAAGCTGTACATAACTCCCTATAACAGCAGAATAATTGGTATAAGATCTTGTTCTTACATAGAATATCCATTTTTTTCAATATATCTCTACCCCTTTAGATTACTGTGAGCATTACCATGGGAAGACACACTATGTACTGAAAATTAATAAACAATAGGAAAACAGTATGACATGCAAATCTGTAAAAACCCAACAGATCAAGTCTTCTCCAATACCCCAAATTATGTAGGATTAGCTCTGACTGAGTTGGTAGTGTATTTATCTCTGAGTCAGAATGTCGTGGGTTCATGCTGCCACCAGAAATTTCGGTCTATTATCTAAGCTTATATTTCAGTAATGTTATAGAGGGATTCCTGCACTGTTGAAGTGGGGGGTGTGGGAATATGTTTTTGTTTTAGCAATAAATCAGCATCAATACGTAACTAAAGCCTGCATATTATAGGTTGCTATATGATAAATATGAAAATCAGTAATTAGAATCCCATCCTCAGTGACCAGGCTGTCATTAGTCCTCAAATCTGTCCCACCATTTCTACTAGCTCCAAAAGCTGTTCAAGGAAATCTCCAATTTATATTTACATAGTTGCGTTGCATTGAGTCTGATCAGAATAAATGTAGCGAAAGTCCTCAATCTCTTATGATTGGTTCACAGTTTACAGTTTGAGAACTGCCAATATAAATCTTTGTTCAAAACTGAGTTGCCTCCACGTTGCATCACTTTGCTTGGAATATTTAACTTGCTGGGTCAAAGCCCTGTAACTCCCTCCTTAACTGCACTGTAGGTATAGCTCCACCACATGAATTGTAGTAGCTGAAGGAGGCAGCTCACCTAGGGCAATTAGTGATGGGCAACAAATGATACATGCCAGTATGAAAAACCATGTTGTGGTTGGTTCGCTTGCCGAGTTGGTTCGTTAGTTTGCAGACGTTTCATTACCCTGCTGGGTAACATCATCAGTGCAGCCTCCAATGAAGCGCTGTTGTATTTTCTCACCTGATATTTAAACTCTGGGGTCCATTTAAAAGAGCGACAACACACTGCAGCAACCCGGAACTACGCCAAAACGAAGAATACCTCTACCAAATATTTAAGGACAACGGATACCCGAACAGCTGGGTCGGACAGTCCTATCACACAGACAACAACAGGAAGATACAGTACACCCTGACAGACTGGTCACGTTACTGTACATCAAGAACATATCCAAACTGACTACAAGACTCCTATGACCATTGGGCATCAGAGTGGCACACATATCTACGTCAACCCTACACCAACTGCTAACTTGAAGCAAAGACCCCTTAACCATTGTGGACAGAACCAACATGATATACAAGATTCCATGCACGGACTGTGACAAACATTACATTGGACAGATAGGAAGGAAACTGGTCACAAGAATACACGAACACCAACTAGCAACAAAAAGACACGACCAATACTCACTCGTTTCCATTCACACGGATAAGGAGAACCACTAGTTTGATTGGGACAACATCCAGATCCTAGGATAGGCCAAACAGAGACAAGCACGAGAATTTCTAGAGGCCTGGTTCTCCACCAGGAAGGCCATCAATAAACACGTAGAATTAGACCCTATATATACATCACTGCAAAGAAAAACCGGAAATGAGGTAATCAACTCCAATGAGACCCCAGAGTTTAAGTATCAGGTGGGAAAACACAACAGCGCTTCATTGGAGGCTGCACTGATGGTGTTACCCAGCAGGGTAATGAAACCCCTGCGAACCAACGATCCAGCTCGGCGAGCGAACCAACTACAGCATCCACAACCTGAGCTATGAATCTACTCAAGACCTTAGTATGAAAAACCAATATCAAATTCTACACCAGTATAATTATTTTCAAGAGTGTATGTTGTCCAAGTGTCTCAAATCAGTGCCCAGTTTACACATACCGAGAAGGAACATTTTGCTGCCCACAATCAACTTGTGTGTTGTTTCGGCCTCCCTTCTCTCTTGCTTTCCTATTTCCTATCCCCTTACTCTGAATCATCTGTCTTTCTTTATTTCACTGCTCACTTCTGTTCTTTTCTATTTTCTGTACTCTCTATAACAAGTTCGGGGTTTTTCAGCACATTGTTGATTTCCATATCATGGTTCTTTATAAAAACACAATTTCTGCTCTTCCTCTTATGCTGAAAATTCACACTGATTTCTGTAGACACCAATGAGGAATGACCATCCAAGGTGACTTACTATAATGCACCCGAAACACAAGAACCAAGACTGGAGTAAAAGCCAGTTCTGTCAGAAGACATTAAGAGGAATGAAAGTATACAAGTGATATACCACCTCAGAAGTACAAATACCAGTAAACTGGAGTTCTGAAGAAGGGTCACTGAACTGGAAACATTAATTTTGCTTTCTCTCCACAGATGCTGCTAGATTTGCTGAGCTTTTCCAGCACGCTTTATCTTTCTGACTTCCAGCATTCGCATTCTTGGGTTTTTTGATATAAACTGTAGATTGTTATCATCTAGTAGGGATACCTGAGACCAAATGGAACTAGGGATAGGTGATGATGATGATATGCTCATTAGGGGATACTTGGGTGAGCACTTGACAGGTATATAAATATATATTATATGTGTATAAACTAAGAAACAGGACCTTGAGGCACACCAGTAGCATCCCTACCTTTGAGCCAGGAAGCTTGCACTCCCACCTGCTCCAGAGCCATGTCACATCATGTCTGAACACATTTTTTAAAATATCTATACTGGTGTACTGGTAAGGTCCCAGGTTCAAGGTCCACCTATCTGAACAGGTTGATTAAAATAACTCTACATGGAAAACTAGTGATCCGTGTTGTTAGGGTTTTGTGCTGTGTAAATTGAAGTTAACAGGAAAAGACAAGGTAGTCAAAGATGAACTATTTCCACTGGTTAGGAATTCGAGAACTAGGGAGATAGTCTGAGAATTAGGACCAGACCATTCGAAAGAGATGTTAGGGAGCACTTCTACGCAAAAAGAATGGTAGATGTGTAGCACTCACTTCCACAAATGGCAGTGGATGCTGAATCAGTTGTTAATTTTAAATCTGAGTTAGGCAAATTTTTGTTAAGCAAATGTATTGAAGGATATGTGGCAAAGAACGGTATATGGAGTTATGCCAGAGATCAGCCATGATTTCATTGTATGATGGGACAGGTTTCTGTCCTGTAACTCCTGTTACTATGTTCCTAATTAAAACTCCAATTGGAAAAGTTTGTGCCTGGACTTTGTTTAACCTACGTTTACCCTTTGGTGTTTAACATTGATGAATGTTGGAACAATATAGTTGCTGTGGATGTACCATTAATTGTTGATCATCTTTCTTAGGTATCAAGTGATGGAGCAGTGAACTGGTTCAGTCAGCACACTCACTTGCCAGAACATACCTATGATTCGCTAGAAATCGACAGCAGAACCCGAGATGATATTTTTGCGGAGTTGAGGGCTTGGCGGAACGAACACAACAGGTAGGTAATATTCTGCAAAAGAATACATTTCAGAATTCCCTAGATCATTAAATAATTAATAGAGGAAAAGGAAATGTTGGGAATTTTTAAATTACTAAACTGTGTTTAGAAGGATTAGCACAATAAAATGTCCCAAATGCTTGACAAGAGCAGTTGTACAGGATCAACACAGTGTGGAGCTGGAGGAACACAGCAGGCCAGGCAGCATCAGAGGAGCAGGAAAGTTGACGTTTCGGGTCGGGACCCTTTTTTGCTTCTTGAAGTGTTGTCTCTCACTCCAGCATCTGCAGTTCTTGCTATCTCCCAGTTGTACAGGACGTTGGTTAGGCCACTTTTGGAGTAATTTATACAGTTCTGGTCACCCTGATAAAGAAAGGATATTACTAAATTGGAGAGGGTGCAGAAAAGATTTACAAGGATGTTACTGGGAATGGAGGGTCTGAGTTATAAGGAAGGGTGGATAGACTGGGACCTTTCTCACGGGAGCGTAAGACATTGAGGGATGACCTTAGAGGTTTATAAAATCATGAGGGGCACAGATAATGTGAATAGCAAAGGCCTTTTCCGTAAAGTAGGGGAGTTCAAAACTAGGGGGCTTATTTTGCAAGGTGAGAGGAGAAAGATTTTTAAAAGGGACCTGAACATTTTCACACAGAGGGTGATTTGTATGTGGAATAAACTGCCAGAGAAAGTCGTAAATGCAAGTACAGTTACAGTTTTGTTCTGATATTATGTCCAGTAGCTCAGGGACAAATTCTGCTGGATAATGTGCCCACAAAGCACCTTGATATGTTTTACCACATTTAAGGTGCTACACAAATATAATTTGTTATTGTTACTTGTGCATGTTTATGTGTGAAAGAAGATATCCACGTACTTGCGCGTTTATGAGGACAGGATTAGGCTAGTCAGTGACGCTTGCTGTGATTGAATAACCTAAAGCAGGTAGCAGAAAACTACGTTGCTAATGAGTGTGGATTTAAGACATTCGAGATGCCTGGTGAGAATAAAATTATTTCATACCTGTAGCCATATCTGCAGGATTTATCTGAAATAGTAGATCTCAAAGAATTTTGTATTTGCCTCCAGCCTTAACTTAAAATAAAATCAATACCTAAGAGATAAGCAATGACATTTTATATAACTCCTCCTAAAGGCGCCTTGAAGCTATTTTGAAGGAACAAGAACCACAAGTGTTGAAGATTGATCACAATGATAATGATGTCCTGAACATTAGTTCGGGTGATGAGGAGAAGAAGGATAACTGCTCTGATGAATGGATTGGCTCTGTTTCACCAGAAACTCCTAGCTTGTCGCCTTTAGTCACTTCATTCCCAAGTAGGTTGGATTCATTGATTTTAAAAATGCAATTTAGTTTCTGCTTTTTTCACAACTGAATGCTGTTTAGAAACTATTCCAACATGTTTTGACTTGCAGCCTGAAGTCTTAAACTTACCTTGCAATTTCATTTGGTGGTTTATAGATCACAACAAAATGTAACTTCGAATCATTGATTCACACAGAGCAAAAGGAGACTGTTTAGGCTGGTATGCCATCACATTACTCGCCTTTCAAATATTTATCCAGTTCTCTTTTGCAAGTTTTATGTTGAGTCTGCTTTCTGCACATTCCAGATAATCATAACTCGTTGCATAACTTTTTATTTCACTCATGCAGCCTCAGGTCTTGTGCATGACTGTTTCCTTTTATTCTTTTATTGGATGTGGGTATCACTAACAGGGCCTTTGTTGGCTTTGAACAGAGTGACTTGCTAAAGCCATTTTCAGAGGGCTGTAAGAGTCTGCTTCCACCTATGGTAATTGGGAGAATCTGATGAGCAAGATACCATTGTGGCATGGTGCATAGGTAATGAGTGAGTTTGGGAGGGAGTGCATGAGAAAACTCACTCGGAACTCATGAAGAGAAATCCAGGTGGGAGTGAATGTTTGTGGATTTGGTGCCAATCAAACAGACTGCTTTGTCCTAAATGGTGTCACGCTTCTTGCATATTGTTGTAGCTGCATTTATCCAGTCAAGTGGGTTCCATTTAACTCCTGTTTTGTGCTTTGTAGATGGTGGGCAAGCTTTGGGAAGTCAGAAGGTGAATTACTCACTGCCGTGTTCCTAGCCTTTGACTTGCTGTTGTATCCTTTGTATTATTATGGTGAGTCCAGTTGAGTTTTCAGTCAATGGTAACCCCATGGATGTTGTTAGTGGGGAATTCACTGATGGCAACACTATTGAATGTCAAAGGGCTGTGGTGGATTGTCTCTTATTGGTGATGGTCATTGCCTGGCATTTGTGTGGCATGAATGTCACTTGCCACTTGTCAGCTCAAACCTGGATATTGTCCAGATTTTGTTGCATTTGGACATAAGTTGCTTATGTACCTGAGGAGTTGCGAGTGATGCTGAACATTGTGTAATCATCAGCAAACACCCCACTTTTGACCTTATGCTGGAGGAAGGATCATTGGTGAAGCAGCTGAAGATGTTCAGGCCTGGGACACTATCCTGAGGAACTTCTGCAGAGATGTTTCAGAGCTGAGATGATTGGCTCTCCAACAACCATGGCCATCTTCCTATATGCCAGGCATGATTCCAACCATTGGAGAGCTCCTTACCCCAAATTTCCATTGACTCCAGTTTTGCTAGGGCTCCTTGATGCCACACTTGGTCAGATGCAGCCTTGATAGCAAGGCCATAACATTCTCACCTCACTTCTGGTATCCAGGTCTTTTGTTTGTGTTTGAACTAAGATTGTAATGAGTTCAGGAACTGAGTCGTCCTGGTGGAACCCAAACTGGGCAGGAGTGAGCAGATTATTGCTGAGCAGGAGATGCTTGGTAGCACTGTTAATGATACCTTCCATCACTTTATTGATTGAGAGTGGATTAGATTGATGGGGCAGTAATGGGTAGGTGCCAATGCTGTAGCTGTACAGGAACAGCTTGGCTAGGGGTCCAGCAAGTTCTGGAGCACAAGTCTTCGGTACTATTGCCACAATATTTTCAAGACCCATAGCCTTTGCAGTATACAGTGCCTCCAAATGTTTCTTGATATCATGTGGAGTGCATGCTGAAGACTGGCATCTATAATGCTGGGGGTGACTGGAAGAAGCCGAGATTGCTCACCCATTTGGCACTTCTGGCCAAAGATACTTGTGAATGCTTCATCTTTATCTTTTGTACTGATATGCTGGGCTCTCCCATAATTGAGGATGGAGATATTTGTGGAGCTTCTCCACACCTGACCTGATGGCATTATTTGGACCTAGTCTCTCCCTCTCTCAGACTTCTTGCAGCCTCTTGCTGTGTCATGCTGCTGGCCAGTCTTCACCAGGGAACCCCACTGACCAGGTCTCAAAGTGCACCAGAGCCAATGCCCATCTCCAGCTACACCACAGCTGACTGAATTCAGCAGCATTCCTCCTCCCCTGAAATTACAGACAAAACTGCAGATGCACATGACAGATTGTGATCCATAGCAAGCTGAACAACATGGGATCTATCAAACTCCATCTGAACCAGAGCAACCCTCTGCCGCCTAGCCCAGGCAAAACCCAGCAACTCTCTGCTCCACTACACTGTCACAGCCACAATCCGCCAGGAGCCCTGACTGCATTGGTTACCTACACAGACAGAAGGGGGAGAAAACGCCAATAGCTCAGCCATGACCAACACCCAATCAGCTGGGTGAGGAAGGCCCAGGCCCCTCCGAGCGATGGCCCAAGGAGGCAGCAACAACCAGGAAGAAGAAGCATTGCAAGCTCCCAAAATAACACCACCAAGCAGCAGCCAGAAACAAGTGACAGCCCCAGCGTCCACTAGAAAAGACGAGCTACCCGCCCTCCACCCAACCAATATCTACCAAGTGCACACCCAAGCAGCAGGAGGTACTGCAAATACTACTTCATTTTTCCTTTTATATTTTAAATTTTATTTTACATTATTTGATTTGTTGATATAGAATTACGTATTTAAAGTACTTCGTTTCAATTTAGATATTACATGTATAATGTTCTAACTCCATTTTTTTTACAGAATGCTTTATGGAGCCTAAGTCCAGTTTTAACAGATTCTTAATGGAATTGATGCTTCAAAAAGTCTTTACTTAAAGTCACAATTTTCAGGAACACAACCCTGACTTTAAGTATTTTCTTGTTGCATGTTGGACTGTCTTGAGAACCCTGCAGCACAGGAGGTCCCCATTCTGTCCAGCATGTCTTGCTGACATCGGAACATACAAACAAGGAGCAGAAGTTTAACCTGCTCTGCCATTCTATAAGATCATGGCTGATCTGATTGTAACCTCAAACTCACATTCCAACCTACTCTTGATAACTTTTCACCCTCATGTTTAGCAAGAATCTGTCTATCTCTGCCTTAAAATTCAAATTCAAGTTAGGTTTATTCGAATTAGGTTTTATTGTCATGTGTACTCAAGTACAGGGATATGGGAGTATATTGAGAAGTGTACAAAGTCGCCATTTTCTGGAGCCATCTTAAGTACGAAGGTACCTAGGTACAAAATCTTAGATATAAACTAGAGAAATAAAGAAATAAAATTAAACGTTAAGGTTAGGACTAAGTCCTAAAAATAGTTAAAGATGCTACTTCCGCTCTTGTTACAGGAAGAGTTCCAAAGACTCAGAATAAATGAGCTTTTAAAAGATTGATCATTTTAGTTCACACTCCCTGCTTTCTCCCTATATACTTTCAAAACCTTTCTTAAGGTACTTGGATAGGAAAGGTTTAAGAGGGATATGGGCTAAATGCAGGCAAATGGGACTAGTTCAATGTAGGAAACCTGGTCGACATGGTCAAGTTGGGCCGAAGGGCCTGTTTACATGCTGTATGACTCTATCGCTCTATCACTCTGTTAACAATTGCAAGGCAAATCCAGTCATCTGTTTTGTGTGATACAGATGAGTAATATTTGTGGCTTTTTAATCACCAGAGGTCAGTTTTCACTCTGGGTGTGACCAGGTTGGCTGAGGTGCAATGCAGGGTGACATCCCCAATGCAAATTCCACTTGGAGTGAAGGGAGGGGAGGGGAGAATTCCCACACAGAATCTCAGATGAGGTTTGGATCATCTTAACTGCTTTGCCTTATTTGAATGCTGTGTTGTTTACTTGGCCAGAGGTTGGGAAGGGAGTTTGTGGGCACCGACAGCCAACATAGGAAATGGATTATGCCACTGAATCCCTTGTGCCTGTCCCATTGCTGTTCATTTAGATTATGGCAGAAGTGTAACTTGGCTTCATCTGCCTTCCTTTGTTCGATAACCCTTTGCCAAATACAAGTCTATCAACCTTCATTTCGAAGTGTTCAACTGATTCTCCCTGTCTCAACAACTTTTTAGGAGAGAGAGTTTTGGACTTTGCATTTTCCTTTGTGAAAGGAAGTAATTCTTGACATCACCTCTGAAAGGCCTGGCTGTAATTTTAACATTATGCCCCTTTGTTCTGGACTCCCTCACCAGAGGAAAACCTTTCCCTTCAACTAATCCATCAACTCCCATTAATCAAATTAAACACTTAATTAGATTAGCCTTTAATCTTCCATAGGGAATATCAGCCTACTATATGCAGCCTGTACTCGTGCTGTAATTCCTTAAAGACCTAATATCATTCTGGTGAATGTGATCAGTGATTTCTCTTCCAGATTTTCCTTCCGATGTGGAAAGCTTGCTGGTTGCAGACTTTAATCGAACATTGTCTCCCGTTCCTCCCTCCCCCCAAGAAGTATCTGCAAGATCAAAGAAAGTACTTGATTTTAGGGCTAGGCGTTTAAGAAAGTCTGTCCAGGTCGAAAGCGAATCATTGCAAGAAGGCGATGAGGACTCTGCTGTGTTTGAAGATAAAGAAGCTGCATATTCACATGATGTTAAATCAAGAAGTAAGCTTGACGACAGGCTGTCTATGTACACTGCAATCGAGAGCCTAAGACCAGTTTCTGGACCAGCTACAGTCGGATTAAGAAGTGTAAAGTATGAACTCTCTACAACAATACAACTTCCATTTACATTTTGTAACATCTGACTAAATATCATTCTATCATTAATGTCATTTATAAGGTTGACACAAGTTAGAATAAGTGGGTTTGCTTACAGTAAGGCAAATTTATTTTTGTATTTCTTTCATGAGATGCGAGCATTAATGGCAAGACCAACATTGAGTTTCTCATCCCTAATTGCCCTGAACAACAAAAGCAAAAGGAATAGAATCTCGTGGTATGGAAGGTGATTCTTCGGCCCCTCGAACCAATGTTGACTTTCTGAGAGGGTTACCCAATTAATCCATCTCCTCTGCTCTTTCCCACAGCCTTGCAAAATTATTCTTTCCAAAATTATAAGTACACTCCACTATTAGCAATCCAAAAGAACTGGTGATGTTAATTACTTTTTGATCAATAATGACAAAATACTTGACAATAAGGCTGAAAATTTGATTAAAAACAGAGGGAAAAATACAGTTAATATGCATGTATCCTATCACAATGATCACATAAACGTGCTCTAACAAGTAATGAGCCAATTAAATTTTATAAATGCAACTTTTGTTACTCTGGTTGTCGGGTGAATAATATTTATTTAAACTTAAAAGGCCACTTTGTTCATGAAAATGTGGTCACAAAGTTTAATATTGGAGAAGGCCAGTCTCTGAAAAAGGCAGCATAGTGATCATGATTTCTGAGTGCAAATGATCACTTCATCTCTTGTCTAAAGATGTTTGCACAGTTAGATTGTGCTTCAAGATGATATCTGTAATTGTCTTCATACTCCCTTTTGGACTATTGTGAGCAGTTTTGGGCCCTGTATCTAAGGAAGGATGTGCTGGCCTTGGAGGGGGTCCGGAGGAGGTGCACAAAAATGATCCCATGGATGAAAGTCTTGTCTTATGAGGAAAAGTTGAGGACTCTGGGTCAGTATTCAATAGAGTTTTGAAGGATGAGGGGGGATCTCATTGAAACTTACAGAATACTGAGAGGCCTGGAAAGAGTGTATGTGGAGAAGCTGTTTCCAGTAGGAGAGACTAGGAACCGAGGGTACAGCCTCAGTGAAGGAATGGCCCTTTAGAACTGAAATGAGGAGGAATTTCTTCAGCCAGAGCATGATGAATCTGTGGAATTCATTGCCACAGAAGGCTGTGGAGGCCAAGTTGTTGAATTTATTTAAGACAGAGATAGGTTCTTGATTAGTTTGGGGATCAAGAGTTACAGGAGAAGGCAAGAAAATGGGGTTGAAAATCAACTGGCCATGAACTGATGATGGAGCAGATTTGACGGGCTAAATGGTCTGATTCTGCTCCTATATTACCATTGTCTTATGGTCCATTATTTCCAAACTCATTGTCATGACAACCAACATTGTCAACATGGTGAATGACTGATACGTATGCTCAAATATAGTGGCACAATAGCATAGTGGGTTATTTTGTTGGGATCACAATCCAGAGAACATGACTTCAAATTCTGCCTTGGAAAATTGAGCCATAATGTGAAGGTGCTGGTGTTGGACTGGGGTGGACAAAGTCAGAAGTGACATCATAACACCAGGTTATAGTCCAACAGGTTTATTTGAAATCACACGCTTTTGGAACAGAGTCCCTTCGTCAGGTGCACATCACCTGATGAAGGGGCTATGCTCCAAAAGCTTGTGATTTCAAATAAACCTGTTGGACTATAATGTGGTGTCGTGTGACTTCTAACTTTGGATATTTGAGGATTTGAATTCAGTTTTTAACAAATCTAGAAATATAGAAACTGGTCTTTGTAAAAGTGACCACGAAGATGTTGAATTATAAAATTCCATCTGCTTCATTTAACATGTACTAGGGAATGAGACGGTAAGAGAGAAAGGAGGTTGAAATGACAAAAAAATGAGTGTATGCAGCAAAACGCATTGAATGGTCCAAGTTTCTCGTGGCAGTCAAACTGTGTTGTCATTCATAGGTGTAAAGTAGATATACGCTGGAGACACACACCAACTGTAACAACAAAAACAGCAGAGCATAACCTAATCATTTCATCACTTACACTGTGCCTGCAACTGTATGAGAGGAGTATCGTGGACATGTTACCAGACTGATAATCCAAAGACAATTTAAATGAATTTCCTTTCAAAAATGGAAATAAAGGTCTCAGTAAAAGTGACCAAGACACTACTGGATTTTTAAAAAACCCAAGCTCACTAATGAACCTTCAGGAAAGAAAACTTGCCATTCTTACCCAGTCTGAGTCTGTATGTAACTCCAGTCCCACACCAACCTGGTTGACAGCTGCCTTCTGAAACATTCTTTAGCATGATACTGTCACCCCAGAGCAACAACAATTGAGCAATTAATATCAACTTTGCCGACACTCATTCCCCAACACCCTGAGAATGAATTTTAAAACATGTAGTAACTTAAATACTAATTGACCCAAATAATCTTTCATTTTATTGCATTTTCTCCAGTCATGTCCATATTATCACCACTAGTGTACCCGAGGGCTTTACTGCCACTATCATAGTTTGCATGCTGCCATTTAGCAGAATGGTCTGTCGGCAAACTAGGGACACTAAACTTTGTTACTTTAGTTCCACTACTACTGCTAACCACTACAGCACCCTGTTTTGTCTGCACTACTGGGTCCATTTCACTCCTTGCTGCATCTTTGCATTGCTAGACTTCCAGCAAACTTTCTAGTGACACATTCAGTGGAATGAAGGTTCAGCATCTTGTTTGGCACATGGGAATACTATCATCTCCATGTTCCTGCCCCGAGTCATGGATCACTGTGACGTGGAAACATTTGAATTTCCGTAATTGTGGCTTGATCAAAATTCCGCAACTCCTTTCCTCACAGCACTTTGAGTGTATTTGCACCACATGGACAGCTGTATTTCAAGAAACTACCTTTTCAAGGGCATTTAGGGATGGGCCATAAATGCTGGCTTTGCAAGCAACAGTCCCTTCCCAAATTATAATGGAAATTAAAACATAAGTGTTTTCATAACATCAGAAGGTTTAAATTTCAACTGTATCCTTTAATTGCTACCTTGCTAAAAGTTGGCAATGAACCGATGTATCAGATTTTCCTGCTTGGTTGAATGAACTACATATTGTGAATACATTTTCATTGACAGGTCAAGTGTTGACAGAAGGCCTCAAAAAATTGACAGTCATCAGCCAATAATTCGTTCATCCACAAAAACACCTGAGAAACCTCTCTCCCTGAACCCTGTACGTCCCCTGACTGCTAAGGCTGCACTACAGCGTTTGCCAAATAGACCATTGCTTCTGCCCAGCAGAGGAAACAAGACAACAAGCTGATGGCTACAGGTATAAACAGTTTGTTCCATGCACCTGAAAGAGCACTGAAATGCTTAGGTCATTTTAATTGAGCACATCAATCTTTTGTGTAGAATGCTTAATGCAAAATATTATGCCCTAAAGCTTTACAGCCCTGATATAAAAATTGAATTCCTTGATAATTCAATCTCCTTCTCAACTTTCCTTGCCTTTCTTTCTCTGAATTCATTCCTCTCCAATCGTCCATAAACTACTGCCTCCTTTTGGGCTCTCCTACCAATATTCATAAGTATTGACATTTCCCTTGGCTTTGATCACTGACATTCAAGGCCTGACCCAAACTTAGTATCTCTCAATTGTCACATTCCCATTTATCTCCAAACCCCATGTCTTTTTGTGATCTCCTAGAGGGAAAAAAAATTTCCTTCTGCATCCACCACGTAAATTGTTTGCATTCAAATGTCATGCGGTTTATTCTTTTGACTTTCTGTTCACTAAAATACCTCTGCAGGGCCTCAACCAGTGCTAAACCTCCACTTTTGATTCCTAAAAAAAAATCAGTCTTCCATCCAGAATGTTTTCTGCTGCATGTGCCATTGACTTCACTCCCTCAAATCCAAGCTGTGCAAATTTGAGCCTATCTGGTGCAGCACTGGCTTAACCTTCATTATGAGACCAGGTTGAACCGCATCAAGCTATGACAATTTACCAGGGCAATGTAGAAGCTCAAAAATGACTCTGACTTTTCTTCATCTAGACCACCAAACTAGGCCTAGCCCTAAAACCTCATTTGCCTTAGATATGTGTCTCATATCCCTCATGTCCTTGCTAAGCTCACCACAGCTATGAGATCTATCTCTGATTTTCTCCATACTACTAAATTTTTGAATACCCAGTCTCCATTTCTGGGTCCCACACTAAATAATTACATCTGCTCAGACCACTATTCTCTACATTTCAAAAGCAACATAATCCTCCTGCCTTAACTGACCCAGCCTGTATCCCCGGTTAACCTACCTCTTTTTGATCTTCATGCTGTCCTGTGGTCACTACGCATACAGTTCTACATCCCATCATCTCTCATCTCTTCAACACTCTAGTGCCCCAGTGCTGTCAGATTGCTTGCCTAATTACAAGGTTTTGGAAGACTTTTTTTCATTTATGGGATGTGGATTTCACTGGCTACATCAGCATTTATTGTCCTTCTGTTGTTGCCCTGGAAAAGGGGTGGTGAACTGTTTCATTTAATTTCCTGTAGCATAAAATTGCGAAGTTGAAAGCCCTCATCTTCATCCTGGCATAAGCTCCATTTGCCTCCCCGGCCACTGCCTCAGACTGAATAATACTGTTTGCACTCTCAACATTCTGCTCAACTCTGAGCTCAGATTCCAAGCCTATATCCTTTATCAAAGAAGTTGCTTATTTCTACCACTGTGATTTTACCTGTTTCCATTTCTGCCTCAGACAATCTGCTGTTGAGCCCTTCTCTGTGTATTTGTCATCTCCAGACTTAATTATTAACTTGTTGTCCTGGGCTACCTTCTATCTTTCACTCTCTATAAACATAAATTCAACCAAAAACTCCCATTCATCTATCATTCACACCCTCTGTCCTTGCTGATTTAATTAATTAAAATTCTCATTCTTGCTTCATGTTTCATGGCCCCTCACTCTCTGTATCTTTCTATTTTTTTAAAGTCCTATTATGCCCTCCCCAATGCCAAACTCTGTAGCTATTCACAGCCATGTCTCTGCCCCAGCATTATGATGATGCCCTCAGTTAATTGCCCTCTGTAATTCTCTTTCTAAACCTCTTCTCCTTTCTTGCGCTGTAAAGGCACTTTTCAATTCCAGTTCTTTGACCAATCTTTGAGTCAAGTCTAATAGCTCTTTCCTAGGTTCAGAATCTGTTTTTATTGTCCTTACACCTTGGGAATTGTCTAGGGATTGTGTGTATATTAAAGGTGCTATATAAATGAATGTTTATGATGTTATGTTGTACTTGATGACAAGTAAGCTATATTACAAACTGTAAAAGATGTCCTAGGAAGGTTTCCAAAGAATCATGCCTTGTACCATTTTGAAAACCACTTTAACCTGTTTACTTTGTACAAAACAAAAGCACAGATATCCCTACAAAATGTAACTGTGTAGGACAGTGCCTGGAATTGGCTGAAACCCCTTCTGAAATGTCATGGAGACAAGTGTTGGTTTGTTTATTTCACAAAGTATTTTGTTCCAAATGCAAAATCAGAGTTAAGAATGGTTAAAAGCAGAATACTGTACATCTGGAATTGTGGAAAGGACACAGCAATAAAAAAAAGAACCTGACACCAGGACAGTCAGAATCTATGTAGAAAACAGATGACCTTCAGTTTCAACTGCTGAATCTTTTGTCCAAAGTTCCCTTTTATTTTCTTCCAAAGAAACATATGTCCAAACTATAGACTGTCCCTTCTGCAGATGTTAGTTGACCTGCTGTGTCTTTGCTTTTGATGGTAAGACCAGAATAGGAGCTGAAAGTGAGATCTGAAGAAGTTCTGCAGATGATCTGTCTTATGCACTCAATTAATTATCCAACCACAGATTCCTTACATTCTCTACTTAATCCAGAACCTGCATAGTCCATGGTACATGTTCATTCCACTGACAGACCACACACCGTCCAACTTGATGTTAAAAATTTAGATCAAAGATGTCTGTGCAGCATCACTCTTCAAGGCTGGAGTCTATGCCTGTGTTCCAGTTGGTGGCAATCACAAAACATATTGTCTGGATTGAAATTTTATTAGTTCCTTTGATTTGAAAATAATTCATGAGGTATCAGGAAAACAAAGCCATCAGGATTTAGCTTGGTGCTGAATTGCCAGTGTCACAAGCCAAATTTTTCAAGTATCGTATAGTTTCAGAGTTTCCGCATTTGTCTATATCTCAGATTAATATACAGACATTAACACTTAAGATAGTGTACCTGTTTTGTTGGTACTTGTGGGGCTAATTGCCACCAGCATATTTCCAGAAAATCAAATGACTCACCCCAATATTTGGGAAATCATATGCTGTACAATCATATATGGATCCAGGATTTAATAATTGTTCCAGTATTCCATTCTGCTCAACCAAAAGTGATTACAAAAAATACCTTTTTGCATCATTTACAATAAAGGAAACAGCAAATAACCATTTTGAACAGAAATTGGATTTGCAGGGAGCTTAATTTATCCGAGTTTAAGATAAATTGCAACTGCCTGTTCACCCATCAGTCATGGCTTCATTTCAAATTATCATTCTTGTTTTCAAATCCTCCCATATCCTCATTCCTGTCTATGTCTGTAACCTTTACCAACTCTACAACACTCCAAATTATCTATTCTCCTACATTTCTGGTCTCTTGTGAATCTCTGATTTTCATAACCTCATCATCAGATATGACATCATCTGCTTAGGCCTTCGAGTCTGAAATTTCTTCTCGAAATATCCTGTGCCTCCACTCCTCCTTTGAAACAATCCTTCAAACTTGTGACTCAAGTTTCTGATTTTATGTTATCTAAGTGGTTCAATGACATTTTTTTAACATAGTAATTATCCCCCCAGATATTTAACATGTTAAAGATGCTACCTAAATGCAAGTTGTTCTTAACATTTCTTCACCATGTTGTTGAAGTACATGCTCTGCATGATAAGCGATGGTGGCTTCTATTTTGTAGAGCTTACTACAACCTCTATCTGTTTTATATGTTAATGCAGAGCGATGCTGCTTTTGTTTACTTTGTAGCAATTCTGGAAAATGAGGTCCAATTTGTGCTCCGTTGTAACTGAAATCCTTTTCATTGTAACTCTTGAGCATGGGGAAAGAGGAATCACTTCTACTACACTTGTCTTGCTAATTTCAACTCTGGTTGTGGAGATGAAAAGAATGGGTAAGCCAGTCACACAAATGCCAGTGTTGTTGTACACCCACACAGAGTTAATATATAATACTGTTTAAATGGTTAGCTGTTGTAGGTCTTTACAAACCAACAAATGTACAATCACATTACCAGACTTGCTGCATATGCTTCCTAACCCTACTGTATTTTCTGAGGAAGGTTTAATGGTGAACATTTTGAAATGCTGTCATTTTAAGTGTTAGTTATGACAAAAATCAGATTGAAATAACTACAGTGACTTGAAAGCAGACCAGTTACACAATTGATTGCACATTTCCTGTGAATGTTTCTTGTGGTTTTCTTAAGGAATTACATCAGAATAGTATAAGCTAAAATTAACCTCTTGTATCACCCATCCCAAGAAACATGCACATATAGACATGTCTACGTGTGTACAACTTATTCACATATGTAGTTACACTCAATGCATGCATACATATTTGCATATTTGCACAAAATATTCATTTGCAAATAAGTACATGCTTGCATTCCCCATCCTAAGACTCCAACCAACAAACACAAGATTAAATATTCATAATGCAGAAACATTTGAAAATATATACACATACATAGACCAAAGTGCATATGATGATTTGCTTTTATTTCGTGAGATGGTGGCTGTATGAAGTTCCCCCACACAATAACAGTGTGTGGCTAGGTGCATGCTACATCCTCTATTAAGACTGTGCTTCACTTTGAAGTGTGAATTATATTAATTTCTAATGCCCAGGAAGAGCTGTAATATTGTTAATGTGAATTAACAAGCAGCCTGTGATATTCAAGTGTAAAGTAGCTTTGTTTGTAGCATGCTACTGATCAATAGTTCATGAAAATTGAAGAGAATGGTGAAAACAAAAATATAATAAATGCCCTTTGAAGATAGTGACTGTCACAGTTTCCCTTTTAATATTTAACTATCTATATGTTGTTATTTTAATGCTATTGACAGCTAATTATTTCATTTGGAATTTTACAGAAGATTATCATCACTCCTCTCTACAAGTGTTCATGAACCAATTTTGAAATAATCAGTAATTTTAAAGCAAATAATTAATTATATCCACAGTGCACAACATTGTAGAACCAGTTGCAATGGATTCCTCTCACTCTTTCATGGTCGTTTTCCCCGTACATGTATGGATTAAACCTTTCTCCAGTTTTAAAATTTGATTTAAGAGCTTTTTAATTGGGAAATGGCTTTCTTCATGTCACAACTGCATGTTGTACTGCAGTGTATAACCATTGTCTTTTTCTTGCACACCGAATCATTTTACTGGTCCGTGCACGTTATAATTACTCAGAACAACCAGCTTCCCAGAAGCCCGATGCAAAGCTTTACTCTGCTGCCAACTGCGCCCTCTCCTGTTCACTCCAGTGTTTCCGATAAGATCAGCAGTTTCAACAAGGGGTCGCAGCAGATTTCAGTACAAGGTTTGGGACCCAAAACATTTTCATGGACTCACCAAGCAAAATCTGGACATGAGTTCGGGAAAGCTACTATGTAAAACATTTGGTTAAGCACCCCTTTCACGAACTTCCAGTGACCAGTGTTCAAATGGGCTTATTCTTTCAACATCAGAGGATCTGAAAACAATGTATGTTGTTATTTCTGTGAATAACTAGATGTACATACGGATTACTGCTGTGTATATGATGTAATTTATGCCTATCTATGCTACATGTCATGTCCCAAAACATGAAAGGGAACTTGATGGAGAATTGTGTTATAGCTCAGTATTTATTTTTTATTGCGAATCGTTGGATTGTCAGTGATTTAAAATGACCATTTCATCATATTTAAATAAAAACAATTGAAATATTTCATTTTGCCTTGCAGTGCATTGAAACATTGTAAATTAGGCTATACAGTGAACCATTATTTCATTGGCTGGCCTTCTCTTCAGAACACAACCCCGACAACCTATACCCCCACTGCCTATATTTTTCTCCTGTTTCATTCTTAAAGGTGTTGGAACTCAGGCCACCAGTGCTAACTTCCATCCAATATGTTGCCTAGGTAGCTGTTTCTATGGATGAGCCAGCTGTATGAGTAACACTCTCCCTCAGAGTTAAAAGATCGAGGGTTCAAGTCCCTCTACAAAGGATTGAGCATAAAAATCAACACTAGCTTTTAGTGCAGCATGTAGGAAGTGCTGCACCATCCGAGTTGCTGACCGTTAGATAAGACATTAAGCTGAAGCCTGGTCTGCCCTCTTAGGTAGACATTAAATAGTGCCATGAGATATTTTATGAAAAAGCAGGAGAGTTTTTCTTTCTCTGGTGTACTGGCCAAATTTTATCCTTCAATATCCAATGTCACTAAAATAGATGATCTGGTGATTATTTCATTGCTTTTTGTGGAAAATTGACATGAACAAAATTGGTTGCCATGTTTCCTCCATTACAACAGTAATAAGTAGAAAAAATGATGAAAGATGCCATATAATTGCAAGTCTTTTTTTTTTCGAAAATGTGACCCCTGCCTTTGAATTTTAGATTGTTTAGCTGTGGAAATCATCATTCAATGTGCCCTTTATACTGTCCTGGATGGAGGAGAGGAAATCCTCGTTGATTGTATATTGTACTTCCCATACTGCTTAAAGCCAACATCCCAGCACCTCAGCACTGTCAATTCAGTACAGCCCTGAATATAGACCCTGGAACCCAATATGACTTGGGAGGGAAAACAGTTCCTTAATAGTGCAAGATCATGATTGCTGCGGTGTGCTACCCCCTGAAATGAGCTTCACACACAATATCAATCTTTATTTTGCTGGCAATCAATAAGAAAATAGTCATATATACTTTGATTATTCTAAGATCTGTATGTCCTTGCTTACTATGGTCTGCCTGTACTGCTTGCAAACAAAGCTTTCCACTGTATTTAGGTACATGTGACAATAAATCAAATCAGAAGTCATTAGATGACACCAGGTTATAGTCCAACAGGTTTATTTGAAATCACAAGCTTTTGGAGTGTTGCCCCTTCGTCAGGTGAAGTGAGAGAGAAGCACACAGGCACAGAATTTATAGGCAGAGCGATTAATGGACAGAGATCAAAAGATCATACAAGTAGTGTGTGTGGACTGTTGACAGGCTGATTAATAGGTCTCTGCAGGTAATCAGATGTGTCAGCAGATGAATAACAAGCAAAGGGATAACCTATAATCTGATTAAATGAGGCAGAGAGACAATTACAAAAAATTTAAAAATAAAGTGGTGCTGGGGACAAACCAAATGACTGGAATAACATGATAGGTATAAGAGTCACATGCCAAGGATCTAACCAAAGTCACAAGTAATCCAAACTGTACAAACTAACTAAAGTTGAGAGATCATAACAATGTATCAAAGTGATGGTGTCAAATTAGCACAGTAAGGAAGATCTTACGGATAGAGAACAATGTGGTTGGATCACATGTAATGTGACATGAAGCCAAGATCATGGTTGAGTCCGTCTTCATGGATACGGAACTTGGCTATCAGTTTCTGCTCAGCGATTCTGCGATATTGTGTATCTCGAAGGCTGCCTTGGAGGACTCTTACCTGAAGATCGGAGGCTGAAGTGATCCCCAACCGGGAGGGAACATTCCTGTCTGCTGATTGTTGCACGGTGTCCATTCATCTGTTGTAGTGTCTGCGTGGTATCACTAATATGCCTGCTGCGTACCAAGGCATGATTTATTGGCAAGACCATGCAGGTGCTATGATAATGGATGAATGGACAATGCACAACAATCGCCAGACAGGAATGTTCCCTCCCAGTTGGGGAACTCTTCAGCGGTCAAGGATATTCAGCCTCCGATCTTCGGGTAAACGTCCTCCAAGGTGGCCTTCAAGATACACAGCAATGCAGAATTGCTGAGCAGAAACTGAAGCCAAGGTCTGTACCCATGAAGACAGTCTCAACTGTGATCTTGGGTTTGTGTCATGCTGCTTGTGACCACATCACACTGTTCTGTATCTGTAAAATCTTCCTTGTGTCCTGTTTTGTCACCATCACCTTGATAAATCGTAATGATCTCTCTAGCTTTAATTAGTTTGTACAGTTTTGATAACTTATTACTTTGGTTAGACCCTTAGCATGCAACTGATATACCTATTATGTTATTCCAGTCAATTATTTGTCTCCAGCACCACCTTATTTTTAATTATTTTTTGTAATTATCTCTCTGCTTCCTTTAATTAGATTTATAGGTCATCCCTTTGCTTGTTAATCAACAATTGACACTTTACTCATATCCATCTGACTCTCTTGATCACCTGCAGAGATCTATTAATCGGTCTGTCGACATTCCACTCACACCATTTGTATGATCTTTCAAACTCTCTGCCTATAAATGCTGTACCTGCGGGCTTCTCTCACGTCACCTGATGAGGGGCAATGCTCTGATTTCAAATAAACCTGCTGGACTATAACCTGGTTTCATCTGACTTCTGACCTTTTCCACCCTAGTCCAACACCAGTACCTCCACACCATAAATCAAATCAAATCAAAGTCATGTGAAGCAAATCACACAAAACACAAATGTCAAAGGGGAGATGTTGAACCTAATAGAATCCCAATATTCTTTCGGGAAAGAACCTGCCATCCTATCTGTTCTGACTCCAGTCCCACGCCATGGTTGACTCTTACCTTGTCTGAAGTTATCTAGAAAGGTGTTTACTTATACAAAATCTACTGCCAGCTATTCAAGAAGAATGTTCTGGGCATGATTTGTTTTGTTAACATTATTAATTTAGCAGGTTGAAGAAGAAGAAGAATCATTTGCATCTGCAGTTCCTACTATCTCATTTGCAATGAATGTTGGTTTAATGGTCCTCCCCTTTTTCCCTTTCCTTTTATCACAGCCCTTGGTTTCCATACAGCTTTGATCCAACCCTGGAGCACTGGACCATATACTGTGGATTCCTTCCCAACCATTGACTCCAATGCTGCATCCTTCAGACAGGAGCCAGTTAGCTATGGAGGGAGGCAGTCTGCCAACTTCAGTTTCCAGTGTCCCACCCCAATGCTGAGTGATCACTAAGATCATTACTCTTAGTCAAAGCCAATTGGAACCCAAGGTATGACTCAAGGGTCAAGCGAAGACGTACCATGATTGCTTGCAGGCAGGGCTGTCTAGGCCTTGCCAAAAATTTTAAAAAAGTGTAAAGAAAGAAAGATTTGCATTTCTACAGTTCCTTTCGCGATAGCAAAATGTCCAAAAGCACTTTACTGTCACTTATATACTTTAACATGTACCTACTGTTGTTGAAAATGCGGCCATAAATTTGCATACTGCAAAATCATACAATGATCAGATATTGAGTATGGCTGAGTGATAAATATCCTCAAAGACATTACGTAGAACTCATGTGTATCTCCTGAATTAGTGTCATAGGATCTTTCACATCCCCCTGAGGGGCCATTTGGGATCTTGGTTTAACATCTCATCTAAAAGATGGCACCACCAACAGTGCAGCACTCATTTTAGGACTATGACATTGGGACTGTCAGCCTGGATTAGATGTTCAGGTCTCTTGGAGTGCAAATGAACCCATGCACAATCCAGAGGTGAGACACTGGTTTTTAAATTTATCCTGGGGTTATGGGCTTTGATGACTAGGCCAACATGTATTTCTCAGAGGGCAGTCAAGAGTCAACCGTGTAAGATGGGGTCATAAGTAGACCATAGAAAGATGGAAGATTTCCTTCTAAAAGCTTTAGTGAAGCAGATGGATTTCAACAACAATCGACAATAGTTATCTCAATGCTTATTGAATTCAAATCTGCGATGGTGGAAGTTGACCCCAGAACAATAGCCTAGGGCCTAATTCCACCCTCCCATCCCCAGAAATCTATGTTGCCACTGAGGCTATTTTAGACTAAGATCTGCATAACCATCATAGGCACTGAGTATATTTTCACATAAATAAAAGTAAATATACAGGTATTTCTCCTATAATGCGATAGTTGCATTCTCGTGTGACCTCGTGCTATAGAAAATCGCTGTCGAAAATCGCGTTATAGGGAAATCGTTATACCTGTACAGCGGAAAACTTGCATTATCCAAACAGTCCACTATTCATCATTAGCGTTACAGCTAAACAAAACACGTGTTATAGCAGAACTACCTGTAAGCACAATTCACAAGTATGATCCTGCTTTACCCACTCCGTAACCTAATGAACCACAAAGCACTGCCTCAGATAAGGAAAGAATTTGTAGAGCACTGCAGCAATCTAAACAGTGTGTGTGTGGTATTTTTGCATTACAAAGATTACATACTAAAATACACATGAAAATGCACATATTTGCATTCCAGCAACTGCTTTTTGATTCAACTCAGACAGAAAATAGCTAAAGCTCAAAAATCTGCAACAAATTCAAACATCTAATGCGAGAATGGGAATGGTTCTAAGGCTCAAAGATGCACATCAATATCTCACCCAAGTAAAATACTGCAGATACTGAAATCTGAAACAGGAATTATCTGTGCCCAAAGAGACCTGCAATAATTCCAATCTTTTTTCCTGAATTGCTGCCAGTCTGTGAGATGATACGGTGCTCCTGTGGTGGCGTTGGAAACTAGCCCAGTGACGTTGGAGTAATATTAGAATCACATCATCCTAACGAGAGCTGAGCCCCAAATATTTACACAGTCTCAGACCTGCCACAATTTTCAAACACTTTCATTACGGCCTACAGTTGTGTGAAAAATATCAGGATTAATTAAATTTTAATCTGTGTCATTGAAACAGAGATCTGGAAGTGTAAGCAAACATTGTATGCATTCACAAGG